GGACATAAATATGAATTTGAGAAAAACAAGCTGACATAAAATGAGAGAATATGAAGGAACAAATTTTAGTGTAATTTTTTTCTTTAAGCAGAGCATCTGTTTTCTTCAGAGAATACTTGTATTCTTAATTGATTTCTTGTATTTTTGAAAAATGTCACTGTTTAATTGGAGCTTTTATTCCAATGTCATGTTTATGTCTTTTCTATAAAAGCAGTGTTATGAAAAGAATGTGTATCTTCTCTTTTTAATTTATCACTCTGCAGGAGAGGTGGTATACTGATTTATTATACACCGCCACATGGGCTCACAAATGTTTAGTTTTATACTGGCAGGCTTCTGACAGTATGTCATATATGATTAGAATATGAATACATTTTCACAAAACAACAAAAAAGATTAATGCTGAAATACTGATTCCCCCATACATGGCAGCTTATGCCAAGACTCACCAGATATCACAAGAAAGGTTTTGTCACAAGGAAAATGCATGTGAAATATGAAAATCCAAATTCAAAAGTTGTGGTCATCAAGGTTAAAGTGTTTTAAATGGGTAAATGTCTAAGGTCAAGTTCAAATGGTTAAAAATATTTATATCTATGAAAAGAACATAATTGCATAACTGGTCATCTGAAAATGCTTATAAGCAATGTCATAATACGAATTTATTCCACAAAATTTAGCATACAAGGTCATTTGAAAAAAAAAATGGCTGCCTTATCCCAACAGACTAAAAACATTTTTACATTGCAAGACAGGATTTTTTTTTTCTTTTTATTCATCTTATCTCATCAACAAATATTTTGAAATTTTCTGCGAAAAAGAATTTCCAACCTACCTATGGACTTAATAATATTCCCCTGAGTTGGGAGAGGGCAAACAAACATTAAAATCAAGATGGTCTTGCCACCTTGTTTTGACATTATATTATCTGACTTACTTTCATATTTTCATAAGATACTTTCATATTATTAATTGATTATGACTTTTCCTTTTACTTAAATTATATATTAAAAAAAGATAACCAGAAAACAATTGTTTTGAATTTGAACATATTTTAGTGAATAAATCCAAAGGATTGGAAACAATTACAGGTTATGAAAAGATTTGTAACAACTGCTGGAAACTCACTTGTTTTATTCCATAAAATAACTAGAAGCCTGATTTGTTTCCATGGCAACACCTGTGACTGAGTTATTTGCAGAAGCAGAAGTTCTATTCAATTATTAAAAAGGATTTAAAAACTTGACATTTATTACCTAACAATTTTGTTCAATTTGGTAAAACGTGTTCTTAGATGATCTCTGTAATTTGTGATTTATGGCAGGGGTGGGGGTTGGGGGTGGGGGGGGGGGTTCATGCAATTTGTAAAAAACTGTAAATTTACCTAATATTTTTTTAAATTCTCATAAAACCTTAGAATATATAGTTTATTTAATGATACAGGGTTACAAATATATCTTCTGTCAAAATGGTGAAAAATTTCATTGACTATGACTAAAAAAAAGTCAATTTTGACAAATTGCCAATTTTCATGCAATAATTTGTAGAAAGATTTGGATTTACCCATTAATTTTTTTTTTATTTTCATAAAACCTATGAATATATAGTTAATTTAATGATACATGGTAAAAAATATATCTGCTGTCAAAATGGTGAAAAATTTCATTGGATATGACTTAAAAAGACAAATTTGGCAAATTGCCAATTTGCTAACAGTCTTAATTCTGCGATAAAAATTCGCTTAACCTCCATTCAAATACCTTAAATAAAATTTAGCTCTCAGATTTAATTAATATGAGCCCGGGGAATATAATTTTCATGTGAATTAATAGTAATTTATTGAATGTGCACTAACTTGATTTAAAACAGAGCAAAATTTGCTTAATCAGAGGGTTCTAAAAATAGCATCTTGTCACCATGGCAACCAAATTGAAAAGTTATACTTTAACATCATATTTATTAAAGCTATGTCAATTGTACTAAATGTTGTGAATTTCAGCTAAATCGAAGACATGTCATTTCCACAACCCTATTTAAAATTTGATTTTTATAGAGAATTGATATTAATATTCAAAAATTAAATTGAAGTCACCTGCAATAACAATGTGTTGAAAACAATTTATCTCCTCTATTTTATTTAGTAAACTTAGAAAAAAAATTGGGTGTATCACAATTAGGACCGTATATATTTATCAGTAAAAAAGGTAAGTCTTCAATGAGGACATCGAAAATAAGATAGTTTCCCACATTATCCTTAAACTCATTGCATATTTTTACTTCACAATTATTATTAAATAAGATAGCAACTCCTCTTGAATTGGACTTAAAAGAACTAAAAAAGCTTTATACCCCCACTGTGTTCTTATCATGTTCTCATCCTTTTCCACAAAATGTGTATCTTGAAGAAAATAAACATTATATTTCTTAGCTTTAAGATTTTTGAAAACATCACCTCTTTTATCTGTATCCCCCAGGCCTTGGCAGTTTACTGACAATATTTTTATGTTATTTTCCCTATGTTCCATAAATGTCTGTATGATGATAGGAAAATGCTGACCCCCAGATGTCAAAAACAAATATATGGGGAAAAAAGTATGAAAAAAGAGACATGCCTCTTGTTGTTGATTATTTTCAGGGGGCGGGGGAATTTTGCCAAAAAACTTTTTTTAAGTTATGATAATAAATTGGAAGTAAGCATATTTATAAAAATTAAAGATGCTAACGGATTGTAGAGAATACTATGCACAAAGACTTTTCTATTTAACAAAAATAAAGAAGATAAGCACAGAAAGTTATGATTAAAGTTTAATAACTTCAACAATAACAGAGAAAACTATTTTTGGTTTTAAACAAATCATAACTTGATTATTTTGTATCAATTAGCTAATGTATATATGTTTGATATTATAGAGACTATGTGCATAGATTCTCCCATTGTTATGTGGTATTTATGTCTAATATTATAATTCACATATTATGTTAACACCAGGCAGTATTTGAAACGAAACGAAAAGAAAATTGTTTACCAAATGCGAAAAACAAAACAGGAAATACCACATTTCAAAAAAAGTCGGAATAATTGGATAAAAAATAAATATCCGGAATATTTCAATAGACACACGTGATGTTTATTTCACTTTGAAACAATGTTAAAGGTAATAAGATTGGTTCATGATAGTGGTTCACTCAAATAACTGTCGGAATTCACCTTTTATGCGAGACTGAAAGTTATATCAAACTGAGACTGGTAACTTCTTTGCCGCACCGAGACCTGCTTCCTTAATGTGCGAGAAGCGACGGGGTCCGATGTTATTTCCGTGCCATCTTGACACAACTACAAGTGCATTGTTAATTTCGTTATCGGCCAGAGTTTTTAATAACAACCTACCAGCTCCATGCTCTCCATCGTCATTTGAACCTTCGTGCACCTATCCATCACTACTTGAGAAACGGTAGGCGTAAATATTATGACTCGCACTTGGCACCGTCTCGACACGCATGATATCCACCAGCGATATCTTGATCTGTTTGTAGGAGTCGACCTGCGTAGCGTGTGCTATGAACCGGTTCCCGTTATCTTCTATGGACTTTCCTGTACTAACGGTAGTATTTACCACGTCATTTGTGATCACTTCGTCTGCGGTAGGCAGAGGTCAAACTTTCTCCCGGTAAACTGAGTTGCTTTGCGTGAACACAAGTTTATCACCTTTGATTTTTGACTCTATGCGTGCTGCATAATTCTTTTGAACTTCGTAGAGTTGCTTTCTCCTCTCTCGGATCTCTTCCGGCTGCTGCTGGGCTACTCTTATAACTGATTCTTTTTCTTTCAAGACTTTAATATGCTTCATCACAAGGTCTTTTTGAGTCTAATCTCTGAATTGTACACAGATGGGTCTCGGGATCTTTCTTTGTACATCATACTCCCCCATGCAGAAAAGTTTGTTTATTCGGAATTCGTTTACTGTTGCCTCTTCCATCCCCATTTCAGAGATGAAAACATTTCTAAGAATATTAGCGAGATTTTCCGGAGACTTTCTCTCTGGACCCTTTTCATCCAACCCACTGATAATAATATTGTTCTCCATTGATCTTGATTTTAGGTCGATAATTTGACTATTTTGCGTGTTCACACGATATTCGAGCTTAACTACGTAATCTCTGAGTCTATTTAATTCTCTCTCCATTTTCTTCTGATTGTCCTGCAACTCTGTTACGAGGTAGATAGTATCATTGGCCTGCTCCTGGACATTCTCTAGCCTCTCCTGAATACCACTTTGGCTCTAATTTCTTTTGTAATATCGTTTAGATGCTTACCCTGACCATCGAATCGTAACATGAAATTAGCTAGCGTTGTCTGTATGCTGGAAATGCCCTGCATAATTTCTCTAAGTTGAAAACCTTCAGTTTTCTGTTCATCTTGTTCCATTGACCATTCACCTGTATTATCTGTTTTGTCCAGCGATCGTTTTTTAGAGATCTCCAACATTGTGAAGACAAAGAAGTAGAATAACACTGTATTTAGGTATACGAGTATCGCTCACCGTTTAACAGTTAAATGCCACTGACTTACCGAAAAGTTTACCAAGAATTTTAATGCTTTGGAATATAGGGAATAGAAGATTTGCAATGAAATATTTAACGAGAAAATCCACTTTATAGATGCTCTTTTTGATAAGAGCTCTTACATGTAGCTATTGTTCCAATTTTGGCAATTGACAATTTTCCTTAGGTCCATAATTTCACAATTTTGAAAGAAGCGTTCTTGATGATCATTTTCACTTTATAAAAAAATTAGAACCCGACCCAAACTTTTTACCCTACTGCCTCCAAATTCAAAATTATGGTACAAAAATAAAAAAAATTGTCATTTTAATGTCTTCAGTTCGACTAAACCCATATATTTCAGCTAGGCTGAATTGTTTGTGTAAAGCTTCAACAAAGCAAATTTTACTTGTACACAAGAGTAACTTTCAAATAAAGTAGTCATAAAATAAACTTACACATTTTACCACCCAGTATGCCAGTGTTGTCATCAAAATCCAGAAATAATCATATATCGAGCTATGTGCCATGGACATGATGGAAAGTTGTCTTGTCTACTGTCTTGATCCACATTTATGATCTGTCTTTGTCTCTAAAAAGCTTAAAAATTAATCAAAAATCCCCAAAACTAAAGGCACACCTTTTTAAACGAAAACTAATATGGCGGATTCACCAGTAAATTCTTAAGAACAGACGTCCTCAAATCGGTTTACTTTTTATTGTGCACATTTAAGTAGTAAAAGATAACAACCGAAACTGTGACATAAATCAGACACTTGGTTTGAACAGTGTTTCAGTATAAAGTAAATATTTCAATAGGTGTGTGCATTACTTCAGGGTATAACTCTTAGAATATGCACATAAAATTATACTTAAGGAGAAAGGAATCTGCATTGCTTAAAATAGCCTATCTGTGGAGGAGACAATAGCCATTTTAATTTCCTACACAATACATGCCATGCTGATACATGCATTAGCTGTTTTTGATCAAAGTACTCAAAGTACGGGCTTATTCATGAAACAGGGAGGAGGACCATTTTACATGAATATACATTAAATATATAACTCAACATAAAAAGTTCGGTATCTTACTGCAATAAATTATTAAATATGTCTAAGTCAAAAAAGCAGTTTTCTGTTATCTCTGTAGAATAAAGTATAACCTAAATGTCAGGATATCGCAGTAAGTTACTTATATTTGATTGAATGGATCACTTTTCAGTTTATTTTGTTTCATACTCTAATTTTACAAACTTTTGTCCTCCGTGATTATTTTCCTTTTATTCTTTTTTATCATTTTCATTCAATATGCCTCATATTACAATACGTGTATCTATCTAGTAACGCGAGGCAGTGAAGTTTTCAATAATTCTATAAATAAATGTCTTATCAGCTAAAAATATTTTGATTGTGTGTCATACATGGCCTGTGTGTACATAAGGCAACATTACGTTCACTCTTTCACAGATAATATCTAAATTTGTTTCCTGACATTGGTTAATAAGTGTAATTTCTTTAGCGGCAGCGAGTGGAATCTAAAACAGAACACAAGTACTAATGTACTTACATTAACTTTCCTTAACAGGGATTGATCCTGATATTAAAAGTCTTAACTTTTTTTGATCAAATATATATTTAGTGAAAAATATTTTGCACTGAAATTTGTACATGTATATTAATTTAGAATCATATCTTCGAGTTTTCTCCGCAATCTTTTTATTCAAATTCTATTTAAGAAAAAACTTTGAAATTGTGAATAGAAAAACATTTAAATTGTTCCACATAATTAATTCATTTTATCTTTTTTTATTCGCAAAATATGTTTTTTATGGAATTGAAAATTTAACAAGCCAAAAATTATTCTAATTGGTCATATAATAAACCTGCAATACACGACGTCTCTTTTAATTGATTAATTTCTACCTTATGTTAACCAGCAGTAAGGTCTACATTATATTTGTATTCAACTGTATTCAGTCCATTTGAAACTTTTAAATCGCCTTCTTGAAAAGGCCAAGGAAAGTTCAAATTTTTATTCCTCTACTCAAAATATAGGCTCGGATCTGTGATAATGGATATTGCATATCATGGCTTTTTAAATCAGCACGTTTTGCGGAAGAAAATGCAGCTAAAACAATCCGTCTTTTCCTTAAACTTCAAATGCCTATAAAGGAATTGACGCAGTTAATACGAGAGTTGTCCCAGAAAATGCGATTTTTTTTAATATTTCATAGACTGTTAAATCAAATCTAATAATTTTTGGCATGTTGTTGGGAAGTTATCTTTTAGATATTCTGACAAAATATTATTGGCCTTTTAAATCATACGCATATAAAACAGCATTTAAATTATCTTATATATCGTTGGTCGGCGCAAGACATTTTTTTGACTTTTACAAATAGCATTGCGATTGAAGTTTTTGTTGTTATCAGGCTATTTGGCAATATATGTAAAAAATTTTACTTACTTGCACCTGATCCCACCTCTGATGTTTCTTAGGTCCGTGTTTGCTCTGCTTCTATTTTGTATTGGTTTATGGACTTTGAGATTGTATACTGTTCGTTATCTTTATATCTTTCCAATATATGGTGCGTTTGTAAACTCAAAAATAAGAGTTTACAGATGGGACAGCACGTTTAATGGAATTAAATGCACGTTTCTAATGACAAAAATTTATGAAGATCGTCAAAAGCAGTAACCAAAAATACAAAATAAGAGCAAAGCAAACAAGGACCTCCGAAACATCAGAGGTGGGATCAGGTGCCATGGGGGAGTAAGCATCCCCTGCCGACCGGTCGCACCCGCCGTGTGCTCCTTGTAATGATCAGGAAATAACGGACAAATCCGTCGTCAATTCAGTGTATTAATAATGGACTAACAATTGGTATGAAAGATGTCAGTCAGAATTTGACTCAATGATAAATTGTATTTGCTGACAAGGTCAATTTTACTCATATATTTTATTTCATTATATACCAATGACACATCGAGCAAGAATTCACCTTTTTATTCAAGTACTGCAGACTTCGTGTTTTAACCCATCTTGATGGCCAATGTATTTCGGTGGGTCAATTGAAACATGCGTGTTTCATAATTCACTGACTTGCTTCAAGTTTTGAAACAATATCAATTAAAGATATAATTATTTATGAATCTTATTTAATTTGTATTGAAAACCATAAGGAACAAAAACAATATTGAATGCCATTCGTTTATTATTTACCTGATTGAAAAATATATTTTTTTTAAAAAGTAAGATAATCACTGTAGGGGATACTTTTCCTACACAAATACTATATCTAAGCCAAGTAAACAAGGCGATGCATTAGTCTCAGGGGTTATAAGGAAGCATTCAGAATATTTTATTTAGACTTAATCAGTGATACATTATGACGTCAATGCAGGGTAGACAAGATGATGTCAGTTTAAGAAGTTATCGTCATACTGGTATTAAGAAATGTAATTTAACTCCAGAAAATGAATAGAAAGATATAAACATTAAAAAACATTTTGTTACCGAAAATGTTACCTGTATCTGTCTTATGGATTGAAATCAAGGACTGATGACGTCATTAGTGTACAACAAAGACCTTGGGGATTGATCATGCTGTGTAAAGAGAATTTGGCTAAGGCCGCATGTACAAAGTTACGTATAATGTGAATAAAAGCAAATATCGTGAATATTAGATTAAATTCATACACAAGTAAGGTTCATTAAACAGAAATGATAGTTAATTTTCATCGATTATATATATTTTTTCGAAGACAGTCAGCTATTTACATAACCTGGTCGGCCTTTCCTCGCTCATTCGGGACAAAAAAAATGAAAAAGAACAACAGTAAGCTGAATATTTCAAAACATAATATCTGTACATATCGAAATATGTCTTTAATACTTGGAAAGTGATCCCAGATGAAAAAATACTATTAGAATTCAATCGGAGTATTCAGTTGACAACTAACTGAGTCAACTGACCGTCAATTGACCATTAGTTGAATTTTGCTATGCAAATGAGGGAGCATTCAACTCATTTGCATAGAGTGGGCCACTGTTGAATGCTCCTATATATTCTTTACAGTTGACAGCCAGTTGAATATTCCTCTATTCCCTTTACAGTTGAGCGCTAGTTGAATACTCCTGTATTTCCTTTTCAGTTGAGCGCTAGTTGAATACTCCTCTATTTCCTTTGCAGTTGACCGCTAGTTGAATGCTTCATTTGTCAGTGCACGTAGGTTGCATGCATTATTTGAAAGAAATGGAGGGAGATTTGAAATCTAAGAAAAGCAGTGTTCTTGAACATACGAAAAGTCAAAACAATGGATTTACTTCTAAATTGGCATAAATGTACATGTAAATCTAAATGCATTATAAATGAATTAAGTTGGCACACTGTCATAAGTTGTAACATATGCTTTCTTCATTTTCTGTGCAGGAAAGGTTATATATAGAATTAGTCTAAAGCAATGGCATATTTTACCAAGTAAACACAACAAGAAACACAACAAAATTCTTGATGCATGACTAATTTTCAGAATTTTTTTTATATTTTAAAATAGTACACAAAATAGGGATCTATATTGACTACAGTTTTTTTTGTGTTCTTAATATCTGTTTAAAAAATAACAAGCTTAGTAAAACAAATCTTTAAATTTTATACTTACAATAGTACATAAGATGTGTCACACGCTGAATCATCACGAAGACAATGAAGTTTCAAATCAAAATTCCCACCTTCTACAGAAAACACATATGAACTGATTCAAATCTTGATTGTTGTATTTATACATTGTATATATAAAAAAACCCGATCTATGATGATGTAATTTAAACATAAATGTAGCGTGGGAGAAAATTTCTAAGAAGTCGAAGTGGTCATTTCTTGTTTTGCATGAAAATTTCTAAGTATTAGCATTCAACTTATGGTCAACTGGCCATTTTATGCAAATCAGTTGAACGCCTTTCAGAAAAGAATTCAACTTCTAGTGGTCAGCTGTTTTTGCATTATCGGTTGAAGTCTAAATTCACTGCTAGTTGACGACCAACTTCACATTTTCGTATGGTAATCTCAAGGTAAACATATGGTTTCACGAAAAAAATCTCTGTTAATATGTGTAAATTTCAAAACATCGTGTGGGGTTTCGTGTGAACGTGTGGAATAGTAAATTTATTTATGGGAAAGTGGAAGTCTGAGAGCACTTTTAATGAATACATTTAATAGATAATTTCAACTTTATTATTAACTCCAGGGTACTTTTGTTCTTTTAGCTGTTTTTATTTTTACCAATATTTTATTCATACAGTCGCGCAGTGGTTAGAGCGTCTGCTCTAGAATTACGAAGTAATGAGTCGATCCTTACGTCGCGAGTTCGAATCACACTTTGGGACTTGGTGACCAGTCCTTCCAATGAGACCGTATAATCCGAGGTCCCATGTCACAGGAAAAAAAACCTCCACTGCTCAATGGCCCTGAATGCAGAGTACAGGACTAAATTGTAGCTCTCCATCGGCAAGTGGTAGCGTCCCCATATGAGTGAACAATTCTTGAAAGGGAAGTTAAACATAACATACAATCAGTCAATCAATAGAAGTTACGTGATGCCGTGGTGATGG